GCATAATACGAGACCTACCACACAAGAAAGATAACAAATACACACTTCCTGAGAAAAAGGAGTTCTCGTGGGACCGTGTGACATGATGCCATGTCACACTCGCGCGGTCAAAATAATGCGCGCGGTCCCACACGCCAGACAACGAGCGCGGTCGTCAACGTGTTAACTAGGGCAGCGCACGTAATCGTCATTGCTCAGTAGCATGACTGCGCCTGTTGTCTGAACTGCCTCGGTAAACTGCATGGTGGGCAAAAATTACGGTAACAACGTAAATTCTTCATTAAAATGCAGGGTGGGCGAGAGGTCCAAATTAGCAACACCATCGTATTGTTTGGTTATCAAACAGAAAACAATACTGCTCTTTGGAGTGGACGCTTTCTGCGTCGATAAATAAACCAAGACTTCCCAGAAAGTCATCGACTCTGTCATGTACATAGGTAGGTGTTGTCGACTAAAATTCAAGGCTTTTAAGAGCGAACGAGTGCTCGACTAGTTGACGTTCCTATTATGCTTGTAGCAATGCTTCACCTTCAACACACTCAGTACATCCACAAGAATTCAATTGGGAGAGCTATATTGTCACTTTTCCTAATATGATGAATTCCACGATATTCTGTTGGCATCGATTTTTGAACAATCTGCGCACTGTGTGGACCTCCAAACTTGCTCTGGTGTCCTGTGTTTCCTATTGAAAGTGCTTCCATTCTGAAGCATCGACCGAGACAGAGGAGTTCGAGACGATTTTTACTATAGTTTTATCTTGAGCAGCAGAGGTCTGAGGTGTCTTCGAATCGTGATTCCTGCTCTTGTGATTTCTGCGAAAACCATCACTGAATGGCTGGTTGGCTTTTCATCAGCATTTGTCCAGCTGCTCTTTTAATTTGGGATAGCGGAATATCTTCCCATCAGGGAAAACGTTTCATGAGAGAACCTCATTACGAAATCGAGACGGTTTTCTTCAGCACCTTTGCTTTCTATTCGATTTCCACACATCGGTTACACCTTCGATCTTTTTCAAAAGATTTTCTACACCGGAGTTGATATATTGGGTTGACCCATAATTTTGGCCGATTTTGGTCCAAAATTTTCTTCATGCCAAATTAGCTTCATGATGTTAATATATTGAAGAACGCATCAGGACCTTGAGCCAGGATGATTCAGAAGCTTAGTCGACACCTGAATGGAATGGGCTGTAGCAGAATGAAGCCTCGATGGAAACAGCATGCATGGACTGACCATGACCGAGAAGCACGCCTGACCATCTGCAGAAGTTTCATTCTGCGACCGTATAGACAAGACATTCCCTGGTTGGTCACCAGTGCAGATGAGTCATGAGTCCCCTACCAACACGCGGCTCGCCCGGTGGCTACCTCGCAGCCTGGACGCAGCACATCAACCAAAACCCGAGCTGTTTCATCAGAGGGTGTGACCCCCGTTTTGTTGGATTCGCTGGGTATCCCGTTTTGAGAACCATTTCACTTTATGCAGACAAGCATTGCGAAGGTAACCATGGAATAGCTTCCAAAGTTGGCCGCAGCAGTGCGGGAGAACGGTTGGAAAAGTCTCAAAATCTCCTTTCTCCGGAGGACCGCCCGAAATCACATTGCAAAGATAACTCGCCACGTTTCGAGGGAAACTGGCTGGACCACGACACCACATCTATCGTATAGCCCTTACATTGCTCCATCGTACTATCACCTCCTCAGCTCCCTGAAGCAGCAGCTAGGAGAGGAAAAAGTCAGTAAATACAACCACCCCAAAAACGACCTCTTCGAGCTTTTCATCTCACAGCTTCTCTCGTTCTGGGAGGAATGCATCCATTCGTTCCCTAGCAAATGGGTGCATATCAGTGATTATGATGGTGGTTATGTTTTTGATCAATTGTTCTTTAGGAAAGATAAAACTTGAATAAATCAAAGTGTTGAAATCGGCCAGAAATTATAGGTCAACCGTAACTCTGAAATGTCGCTTCCTTCTGTGTCTTCGTCTCTCAGCTAAAACACAACCTCATCGGTATGGGAGACAATTCATTCGAAAGAGCGATTCAGCATGGATATTAAAGGAATCCTTCGCGGAAAATTCTTGCATTCTTTCCTAACATGAATGTGTCAGTTGTGATCACTGGAAACAGCACACAAAGTTTCACGCATGAAGATTCGGTTTCGAAGAGAAACAAACGTACAAAAACTACACGTTATGGACATCGAAGGTAATTCGGGCGGAGCCAAACGAGGCATGGAAAGAAGTTGGCCTTTGGCCGGCTACGTATCAGGCGACGCAATGACGGAATCCGGGTAAAGTGATCGATTTTGGAGAATAGAGGCAAACAAGCTCTTTCGATTTTTTGAATTTTTTTTCAAAACGAAAGCAATACTTCTGTTCTTTTCACTATTATCGTGGATAATGAGTCTCAAGCCAGTGATTTATGGCTGAAATAGAATCATGATTTTTCCGCGAAGGATTCCTTTAAGGAATTTTAGGCGCCAGTGAGCGGATGTTCTTCGAGCCAAAACTTTTGCTCGAAGATGATTGATCAGAAAACATCCTGAGCGTATATATTCAAGCAAGGAAAAACGGCCAACGAATCCCACTCATTGTGTGCAAAACATTGAGCAGTAACACTTAGTCTCTGATGCACTTTCAGCTATGGTTTCAGCTCTTCCAAGACTGAGGTAAAGGACTTGAGGGCGAAGATCATGGATTTTGACCTCTAGCTCTAAATAACGGAGAGAGAGTTTGAATCCTCGACAAGCCACACGAAACCTGCATGGAGATTCATTCGTGTCAACGGAAAATTTCAAAAGTTTCTACGTGCGACTGGTAGGCCTTCAGGAGTAGAAAATGGGTTCGGCCTATTCTGAGCGACGAGCAAGCAGTACTGGTTGCCAATACTGGAACTCTTCCCATAAGCTCCAACAGGAGGAAGGCTCTTGACTTCGTTGTAGCGCACTTTACAATAGGATGTTCCTTGATAACAAAGTGAGAAGATCGGAAGCGGAGACAGCCGAGGATGACTCGGAAACTGGACATCCACGGAAAAAAGTATTGCTTGTGCAGGTGAAACAGTATAGGACTGGCCCACTATGGAGTGCTGGAACCCTGCGCACAACAAGCAGCCCGCGTAGACCGAGCTCTGCGTGGTCAAGGGGCAAAATTCGGCCAATGTAAAACTATTGCACGATAATGCATGACCACATGTCGCAACAAAAAATCACGAAGTTGGGCTAGAACGTTCTACCTTCCGCGCCATATAGCACAGATCTGGCGCCGTCCACTATCATTGAACCAGGTCAATGCCGCGCTCCTTAGCAGCAAATGAATTCTAACCTCGACGTCAAAATTTGAGTACCTAACTTCTTCGAGTCGTACCTGAAAGAGTTCTACGAGGTAGACCTCCATGCTTGCGTAACAAAAGGTGGAAGAGCGATGACACACATGGAGGAAATAATTTAGGTTGATGTGCTTTGGTATAGCTTTTATACTTAAAATAATCGTTGATCAAAAACGACATTTCAAAGTTACCAGCCTATTATTTCATGTGAGAAAATCAAAGATGGAACAATGGCCATCAAAATAAATACATAGAATACACATCGAAAACTCCTGGTGTTTAAAATTAAAAATTGACAGCAGCAACTCTTGTTTCCGTAATTTTTGCCTACCTTGTAGAAATGTCGACAATTTTTCGCCAACCTTCTCTGACTAAGAAATTTTCATTTATACTTTCTGGAAAATGCCTCGGCATGCGGCTTCTACCTATGATGAACCACTGCGAATTTCCGCTTCGTACCTCATTTGAATTGTCAATAGCAGATGTTGAACAGCTTTGGGTTCAACTTCTCGATACGAATGCTGTGATGCAGAAAAAGTCCTTGAAAATGTAGACGTTCCTAATTTGCTGAGGCTATTTAGGCATGGAACCGTGGAAAAGCACCTCGGCTGCGCGGACGCGTTCGCGTGTTGCTGATGGTGAGATCATTTTGACGTAAGAGCGGCGGCGAAGGAACGAGCAAGAGCCGGCGTTCCTGCCAGTTCTTCAATACTTCAGGCACTGCTAGCATTTGTTGCACTTTACTGCTTGGATTGCTTTTGTAGCCGTAACCAAGATAGTATAATCACTTTATTGGCTAACGTTTCGGCCGTGTCGCCTTCGTCAGAGCCTGGAAGCAAGTCAAAGATAAGTGCGACCTAACCTCCAAACGCAATTTCAAACTTCAGAGCAATTCGTTCTAGACTAAAGGCAGTCTTACAAGTGCTTGTGTCCTGCCCCTCCTATCAAAGTACAGTACTCGCCGTTTGAAATCGAAAATTCACGCGAATAACGCGAATCCTCGTTAATTTCGTGAATTCGTTATAACTCGGGTCAGAGTGAAGTATTCCAGAAACGGAAAACACCGTTGAACTCAGCTCTTCAAGCGCTACAACGTCTTGCTGTTACTTTTTCAGAAAGCTTGATTTCGGAATGCGCCATGCACTCGATTCCATCGTAGTTGCTCGCATGTGATGTGTATATAACCCCGCTTATGCGGGCTAACCGCTACACACAAAGAAGGGCCTCAACCCTTACCCCAGAA